GGCTCCAGCCGTAGACGCCAAGGCCGTGGCCTCGAAGTCTGCTCCGCCATGACCTCCGGAACTCCCCGCACCACCATGTCCTCCTGTGGTCCCTCTTCTGCCTGAGCGCCCAGAGTTGACAGATCCACCATGGTGCCCCACTCTGGAGGCCTCCTGTCTGGTAACCCTACTCCTAGAGGTCTCCAGAGCGCCCACCCCCCCCTTCCATGCCTTCTGGGAGGGGGGAGTAATGTCAGACTCTGGGCCAGGTTTTGTGTGTGTCTTTGCTCCCTATGTGCTCCGTCTTCCAGTTTCTCTGTCTCGTTCCTATGTTAATTGTCATTAGTTCCAGGTGTTCCTTGTCTTCCCTTCATCAGTTCCTGTGCATTTAAAGTGTGTTCTTGTCCATTTGCCAGTCGTTGAACGTCATCCTGATGTGTCGAGTCCTGTGATCCCCAGCCTGTGTTAATAAAACCCTTTTGACTTATTCTACTGTGTCTCCTCGCTCCTTCGTTCCTCGTGTGTGTGTGAACCGTGACAATAGGCCTATAATTAACATTATAAATACTGCAGTCATCACTGAAAATTAAGAGTTTTATTTCAAGCGCTGACTTTCAAAAACAACCTGTTTAATGGTTGTAACACTCTTTGTTTCAGCATCTGTAACTAACTGAATTTGAGCTAGAGTGCTCAAACTTTTATACAAAGCACCCACATTTGTTCACTACAAAAGGTTCCAATTCATACTTAAGAATATCACAGCCCCTATAAGTTGTCAAATACATGGAGTGCCTTTGTTACATCACTACTGGGGTAGGTTGTAACACATGCTGGGGTAAGTTGTAACAATTAGACAAAAGACGCAAAAACAGCAGCCAACCCATGAAGTAGGCTACATTATTGTGCACTGTAAACTGAGTGTATTTAATTGTTTTGTTTCTCTGACTGTTAGCCTACAGAAACCATTCAATCATACCTTAGGTAAATTGCGCTATTTAACAAAACGAAAATAGAATAGCACACCAGAAATAATCTATGCACATAGAACAAAGTATAAAAGTCTGTGATTCAAGCTGAATTAGTTGCAAAACTAAAAATCTAAGAACTTAAAAGGAATTTCAGTGCATTGTGATCACCAGATGGCACTAAACCTGATATTTAAGAACCAACTTCCGAATCCCTGTGAACATCTTTAAAAAAATATTGGTCAAACCTCTCAGTAATCTCATCGGTTGATTTTTTTTCTTTTCGGTGTTTTGTCTAGCATGGATCCAGTGGGAGTGAATTCAATAGAAACTGCAGGTCTAGGAAGACCCTTCCAGCTGGGGATGTTGTATGACTGCAGGAGAGATGTTCTAGTACCAGGTGCTGCAATATGATGGGCTGAATGAAACTGTTGTCCCAAATCTATTAAGCCTTTAATGTTTTCAAGACATATGAAAAAAAAAATAGAGTAAAATAATTTAATGCTTAATATTTATGGGGCTGTTGTAAAAAACGTACAATATAAAAAGTAGGTAATTTTAATCTTTTACAGCCTTAAATAAAAGTCTTTCCCAGCATTCATTCAGATCTTATAGCCTTTAAGTCCCCATAAAGAATATAATACTATATATATGATATTTCATTATAACTGTTATTATAATTCCATAATTAGAATTGTGTCTTTTTCTGTATTTCTGATTTACTTGTCATTAATCGTTTATTTTATTCTCTTTTTACTTATACGGTTTGAATTATTTGTACTCGTTAGTCACTCTGCAAATGGAAGAGAATGGCCAATGGGGCAAGAAACAAAATAATAATGCGGTGTTGTCTGCTGGAAAAAAAAGTGAAGGAGCTGATTAAAATTCAGTTTAATGAATGAATAAAGTATTTACATGTACATTCTTCATTTTCTCCATTACAGGAATCAGACTTTGGAGTAAAGAGCAGCTGCAGCAGAACATACGCAATACAGCCCAAATTAATACAGTTTTCACAGTCACTGCTTCAGACTCAATTGAGGAGAAATCTAGATTACTGAATATTGATGGTTGTCTGAAACTGAGTCTTTTAGGTGGACTCATCAATGTAAGTGGAGCTGCCAGTTATCTCAAAGACACCAAGGAATCTTTCAATCAACAGAGACTGACATTACATTATCATTCAACCACTGAGTTTAAAGGACTGATCATGAACCACTTTCCTTCTGGAGAAATGGCTCATTATGACAATGATATAGCCACACATGTAGTGACAGCAGTGCTGTATGGAGCAGATGCCTGCTTTGTTTTTGATAGAGAAGTTTCTTCAGATGAAGACAAAAGGGTGATAGCAGTAGATGTAAATGCTGTCTTTGGGAAGCTAAAAGGCGTTTCAGAAGGTGCAAACATTAATCTGAATGACAATCAGAAGACTGCAGCCCAAAAATTCAGCTGTACATTTTATGGCGACTTTCAGCTGCCATGTAATCCAACCTCTTTTGAAGATGCTATGAAGGTTTTTGAAGATCTCCCAAAACTGCTGGGAGAAAACAAAGAGCTTGCAGTTCCTCTGAGAGTTTGGCTTTATCCTTTGGACAAACTTTTCTCAAGAGTTGTGAAGTTTCAGCATGAAATTAGCATAGGTCTAAGCACAGACATTGAATCTGTAATTGAGAGTTTAAGTACGACTGAGATGAAATGCAGTGATCTTCTGACAGACACACCTGCTTTGACATTTACTGCATTTCATGACAAAATCAATGACATGAAGAAAAACTGCTACCAGTGCAGGTTGAGTCTCATGAAGAAACTTGGCTCTCTCTTACCAAAGATAAGAGGAAAATTTATAGAGGATACAGCATTGATCGATCTGCTAAATGATCATCAGCAATCTCCATTTGAAAGAAGCACTCTTGAACAATGGCTGAAAGAGAAAGATGAAGAATCTGACATCATTAAATCATTGCTCACACAACTGAATGACCCTGAAGTAAAGGGAGAAATCAACCTCAATAAAAATTTGATGAATCTTGAAGTTAAACATTTGGTCAGCTACACGTTCACATCACTTGGCTGGCCAGATGTGCTGCTTTCTAAACAAAAGGCCTACCTGAGTTCAACAAAAGGAAAAAATGGAGCGAAAAGCTCTGAATCTGAAAACAAGACTTGGCTCAAACCTGAAATCCAGAAGACTATGAGGAACAACTTGAAGGTATTTAAAAACATGATTGATTTAAACAATAGCAAATCAGTGAAGTTTATTGTTGCATCAAAAGAAATGGAAAATAGTCCAGGTTCCTGCATACTGCTGTATGAAAATGAATCTAATGAAGCTGTTTGCTTCACTCCTCCATCAAAACCAGACTGTCCAATCATTGACGATATCAGATGTAGGCAAGTGGTTTTGAAAGTGTCTCCACCGTGTCCTGCTACAGAGGAGCTCAAATTACTGTACAAAATGAAGGAGGAGAAAGACTGGATATCTCAAACTGTGTCAAAGAACCAGAATAGAGTGACTCTGACTGATCTCAGACCAGATACTGAGTACAGTATTAAATGTGCAGCAGTGGGAAAACTCAACTACATCACTGAATCTGATGTCACCTCAGTTATCACAAACACAAAGGTACTGTATGATATGTATTTAATGATCTATCTATCTATCTATCTATCTATCTAATAATATATAACACAAAACCTTTCAACTAGAAACTTACAATGCTTACCTCTTCTGGATTGAGTTTTGCTGCACATTTAAAATTTTAATTACGATTTTTTATTTTAAATATAGCATTGTACAACATTTACACATAATGGTCTTTATTGCTATTACATTTTTAATGCTTTACATTACAGGACAAAAATGAACTCATCAAAAAAAGCATCTTAATTGAAGATGGAAATCCTGCTCGATACCGTCTGCAAACAAGTGCAGATAATTTGGAGCAATCTGAACCATATAGACAATTGACCTTTGGAGAGAGCGATAAAAACAAACCTCATAAAACCATTCTGATGGTGGGAGAAACAGGAACAGGAAAAACAACCCTTATCAATACGATGATCAACTACATGTTGGGTGTTCAGAGAGAAGACAAAGTTTGGTTTGAGATCACAGATGATCAGAGCGACCGAACTTCAGTTCACAGTCAGACCTCCAGAATCACTGTTTATGGGTTTTATCTACAAGAGAGTCCAATCGATTTAACAGTCATTGACACACCAGGATATGGAGACACTCGCGCAGCTGATCTTGATAAAGACATCGGCAAGAATTTGCTTAGTTGCTTGAGTAAATCTGCAGATGGGATTGATGAAATATATGCAGTGTGTCTGGTGATTAAAGCAACACAGAATCGACTCTCTGACAGACAACAATACATATTTAAATCTGTTCAGTCTTTATTTGGAAGAGATATTGCTGAAAACATTGTGTTGCTCTTCACACACTCAGATGGTCTTCAACCTAAAAATGCCCTGACGGCTGTTAAAGAGGCTGAAATCAAGTGTGCAGTAAATGACAAGAATCAGCCAGTGTTTTTCCTGTTTAACAACTGTCAGTCAGACACTGCTGATGAAGAAGATGATGAAGAATATGAAATGATACAGGAACAATCATGGGATCACAGTTTTAGAGGAATGACAGGATTGTTCAAGTTTCTTGACACAATAAAACCAAAATCCCTGAAGATGACTCGAGATGTGTTACAACAACAGAAGCAGCTGGAGGCAAAAGTCTCCAATTTACAATCCTGTGTTCAAATGATGGAAATAAAGCAAAATGAGCTGAAACAAATTCAAGAAGCCAAATACAATAATAACTTTGAGTGTGAAGTTGAAGTGTGCTACAAAGAGATGGTTGATATTGATCATTCTGTAGGCATAATGGCAACATGCTGCACCGTCTGTGAGGAGAACTGTGTTTACCCAGATAAAGCATGGTTCATCACTGATCTCTCATGGTGCAGTGCGATGAGAAATAATCACTGTACAGTGTGCACACATAGATGCCACTACAGCAAACATATCAAATCAGCAAAAATATATGTAATAACGACAAAGAAGGAGAAGAGAACATTTGAAGATTTAAAGAAGAAATATGATAATAAGATTAGGGATGATGAAAAAGAGCTGCAAGAATCAGAGATTGAGAAAATAAAGCTTTTGAATGAAGCTTTTGACTGTGTGGAGACTCTGCAGATGATCGCACTCAATGCTGAATCACTGTTCATCCTTCAGCACATTGATTTTCTGGTTAAGAAGCTGAAGGAAATAAATGAGCCTGAAAAAGCCCAAACACTGGAAAACATCAAGAAGAGAGCAGGAGAAGAAAAACAAAGAGCAACTGGATACTTAAGATAAAAAAAAAATAAATAAATCATGTCTTAGCTACTCAAACCCTGCTGACACTCTGAAAACAAGATCCTGAAAATGTTTCTGCTTCTTTCAAAACATGTCTTTGATATGATGTAAAGCTATATATTATCATTCATTGTAATTGTTGCATGCATCTAACATTTTACTGTCATCCGACTTGTACTGTATCTATATCCTCACACTTGTATTTTTTTTTCATTTGAAAGTTACTTTGGATAAACAGCACCTGCTAAATTAACTGATGTAAAATACTACACTGTAAAAAATCAAAAGTTGAGAAAACTTAAAAGTAAGGCAACCAGCTTTTTTGAGTTTTCTCAACTTTTTGTTGTATAAACTGAATACAACAACTTGAGAAAACAAAAAAATCTGCTGAAGCTGGTTGCCTTAAACTTTTAAGTTTTCTCAACTTTTTATTTTTTTACAGTGTATGGTGCTTACTGTAGTATTTGTCCTGGAACTGGCAACAGTATAATCTAATCAGTTTATGCAGTAAGATAAATTTGAAAGTGTAGCAGTAATATTGTAAAAGACACAACCACAATATTGAAATTTATCATAAACCTATGTGTGTAAAATCATGGCCACTACGAGGCTGCTATATGGGACACTTTAGATTGTATTATTAAGGGCTGCCATCTAGAGGTCATACGAGAAAATGTTGCATATTCATCAGGTGAAGAAACAGTGATTAAAATCTGAGACTGTCACAAAAGCTCTTAGATTGTGTTTTCTTATCTTCTATGACACTTGTGGGCCTTACATGTTTATTGCTTTATGTTTTTTGACAAAACTGACAAAAGCCTGTTTTCCCAGCTGACAGAACCACGCAGCTTTTCATCATGTGTGTGAAGAGCTTCTGTAGGTTCGGAAACTCCTCATATGTGTTACTCATCTGTATCTGTGAGAAAACACAACACAAAAGGGAAACAGAAAGTGGATGTTAATGAAGCCACAGGCTCATGTGAATATGAGTTTATATGAGACAGACGACTATATAAAACACTATCATCAGCACAGGAAAGTGTCTGCCATAAACACCCATTAAATTATATATATTTTTTGGACTAGGACAATTAAACACTAACTGCTAAATATTCATATATCTGTGTTTATTGTTTAGACAGAGCTTGTCCAGTTCACAAATAATGATCATACTGACAAAACAGCACATTGAGGAACAAATAACACAAAAAATGTTAAATCTACTTTTTTTTCTTTTTTTTTGTTTACTTTCAAGGAAAAGTATTTGTCCCAAAAACAGCAGTGATTCTCAGTCATTTTCCAGGGACATTTGTTGCTTGTTTCACTTAAACAAATCTCTACAACATACATTATTTAAGTAAATAAATAAATAAAACTTTAAAATAAAAATATTAGGGATTTATTAACATGATTAAAATATTCTATAATATTTAATAAATTATAATTGTTACGTAATTCTCAATGATGGGACTGTCAGCACATCAAAAAAATAATAATAATAAAAAAAAATTGAAGAAAACTATCTATTAATGTTTTCCTGTTGTTCTTTACTCATTTCTGGGGAAGCCTATCAAGAACAGATGAGATGTTTGTCTGGACCATAAATGTTGGCATCTTTGGATTTGTGGTTTTAGTTGATTTCTTTGTAATTATTTTTGATTATTTCATACTGTGTTATGAAATGCCTTCAGGGCAAGATAGCTACCATTTTTTTGTTTTTATGTGTTTCAGGTTTAAGTCAGCTTATTGTGGCTTGTTCAGATGGACATGTAGGAACACAAAGTCCATCATAATTGGAAATTCCTTATGGTGATAACTGAGCAAAACTCGTTCATCTTTTTGCTGTTATGTATTCAGTCTCTGTCAATTGTCATATCTGTGAGTACACAGATATTGCTAATGTTGCTTGGTACCTTACAAAGACTTGTTGCTGCAACATTGGTAAAAACAAGCTTAAAAGTGAGTGTGAAGTTATTTATTTTGTCTTTTCCCCTAAGTTGCACCTCCATAAGGTGTGTGTTTGTTATAATGCTTCATTAAAGAAATGTTGTTTGGTGTCATAAACAACTTGCAATTCACAGTGTCCACATTGGATGCAAGTGGCGTGACAAATTAAAGGACTAGTACACCCAAACTTGAAAATTTGCTGAAAATGTACTTACCTTCTGGCCATCCAAGATGTAGATGAGTTTGTTTCTTCATCAGATTTGGAGAAATGTAGCATTGCATCAGTGTCTCAGCAATGGATGCTCTGCAGTGAATAGGTGCCGTCAGAATGAGAGTTCAAACAGCTGATAAAAACATCACAATAATCCACAAGTAATCCACACTCCAGTCCATCAGTTAACATCTGGAGAAGACAAAAGCTGCATGTTATTAACTGCTGCTCATTAACACCATTGTCTCTCATGGCTTAGAAGCCTGAAGCTCTCGTTTGTGTTTCAGGTATGAACCATATGATTTTTCAAATTAAATGTCTGCTGTGTTCAGTAAACATTTTATTCTTATCTCCTGAATAAGTGCATCCCTTGTGAAAAAGAAGTGTGTATATACATGTGTTGTGTACTTCAAATCTTAAAATTATAATTTAAACATTTGTACTTGATAATATATTAATAATTGAATGTCATTAATCATACATGAAAAATAAAATAATAATATATAATTAATGATAATATATTAATGATTTAAAAGACCACTCAAGTATACTTAAAGCGAGTACACTTTCATGGCTATTTTTCCTAAAGTACCATTTTAAAAAGTGCACTTTGTAATAATGTCAAATTAAAAGTTCTATTTAAAAAAATATTAAATTTATTCATAATATCGAATAACATGAAAATTCTGCTGGTAATAATATGGTCTGCTGCCATCAGGGAGGAGACTGCGGAGTCTCCAGGCCAGGACCAATATTACTGTCACTAATCAGCCAGGTCTCCTCACCAGCCATTCCCAGCACACTCCCTCACCTGAGTATTGATCACGCACACCTGCCATCCATCTGCACTCTCATCAAACTGGCTTCGTAAGCACACTCAGCACCTCACTACAGCGTCCGGTCTCGTTTACACGTAAAGGCCTAAATGCCAGGAGCTTCATTGCTTATCTCTCTAACGAAGTGTCTGTACCTGAACTCACCTCCTGTGTCTCCCCAACGTGTTCTCCTCGTCCCAGTCCTCCATCGTCTCCGTACCTCTGGTCTTCAGCTCCTTCCCGATCTCCTGGTCCTGTAAGATAGAGACTTCCATATTATCTCACCTGCGTCAGCTAGCTTTTTCTTTGTCAAAAAGAAAGAGGGAGGTCTCCGACCATGCATTGATTACCGCAGTCTCAATGATATAACAGTCAAATTCCGGTACCCTCTACCTCTAGTCCCAGCAGCTCTGGAGCAACTTCGCACTTCTAAATATTTCACCAAGCTCGACCTTCGCAGCGCCTACAATCTGATTTGCATTTGGGAGGGAGACGAGTGGAAGACGGCTTTCTTGACAACGTCAGGGCACTATGAATATCTCGTTATGCCGTTCGGATTAGTCAACAGTCCTTCAGTCTTCCAAGCTTTCATTAACGATGTTTTCCGTGACATGCTGAACCAAGGGGTCATAGTCTATATTGATGACATCTTGATTTATTCGGATACCCTGGACTCACATGTGCAGCACGTGCGGGCAGTTCTTCAGAGGCTCATTGATAATCAACTATATGCCAAGATTGAGAAATGTGAGTACCACCAGACAGTTACCTCTTTTTTTGGTTACATCATTAGCGCTGAGGGGGTAGCTATGGATAACAAAAAAGTACAGTCTGTGCTCAACTGGCCTCAACCGACTACTGTAAAGGAACTACAGTGCTTCTTGGGCTTTGCAAATTTCTATAGACGTTTCATTCGTGACTTCAGCACCATTGCAGCACCTCCATGCTAAGAAGAAAATAAATGACGTCTACTCTGATCACCATCTGCCACCATGGCATTTCAACAGCTAAGGGAACGTTTCACCTCCGCACCCATTCTTCACCATCCTGACCCTGAATTAGAGTTCTTCGTGGAGGTGGATGCATCCAACACAGGCATCGGAGCCATACTCTCTCAGCGTCAGGGTAATCCTCCCAAACTCTTCCCCTGTGCCTTCTATTCTCGGAAACTCAACTCTGCTGAGCAGAACTATGATGTAGGAGATTGGGAACTTCTAGCCACTCCAACTTCTAGGACTCCCTGAGGACATTGTCTCGGATCGTGGCCCTCAGTTCACTTCCCGAGTTTGGTCCGCGTTCTGCCAATGCCTCAACATTAACATCAGTCTCACCTCTGGATACCACCCACAGTCGAATGGCCAGGTAGAGAGATTAAACCAAGAGCTTACCCGCTTTCTGCGTTCCTATTGCCAGCAGAATCAGAACGACTGGAGTCGCTTCCTCCTGTGGGCAGAGTATGCACAGAATTCTCTCCGCAAACCATCCACCGGCCTTACACCTTTTCAATGTGTACTCGGTTTCCAACCACCCCTGTTTCCCTGGTCCGGAGAACCCTCAGAGCTCCCTGCCGTCAACGACTGGCTCCAAAGAAGTGAGGAGACATGGAATACTGCTCATGTGCACCTCCAACGCGCCATCCGCAGGGTCAAGGAACAGGCCGACCGTCACAGAAGGTCAGGTCCCGCTTACACCCCAGGACAATGGGTCTGGCTCTCCACAAGAGACCTTCGCCTTCGGCTCCTGTGCAAGAAGTTGAGTCCCAGGTACGTGGGTCCATATAAAATCATTAGACAAATCACACCTGTATCTTACCGTTTGGCTCTTCCCTCAAGGTATCGTATCTCACCCACCTTTCATATTTCTCTGCTTAAGCCCGCCGGTTGTCCGAGAGGAGAGAGGGACCAGGAGGAGGCCGTGAATGAGAGTCCGCCTCCCATCATCGTGGACGGCGAGGAGGCGTACCAGGTGCAGGAACTCCTGGACTCCCGACGCCGGGGCAGGTTACTTCAATACCTCATTGACTGGGAGGGGTATGGTCCTGAAGAAAGATCTTGGGTCAATGCTCAGGATATCCTGGACCCTTCACTCACTGCTGAATTCCATAGAACCCACCCTCACAAACCAGCCCCTCACTCCCGTGGAAGGCCTCGGCGTCGTATACCTCTTCGCTTCAGAAGCCGCTCGCAGGGAGGGGGCTCTGTCACAAATCAGGCCTCTGTGGCTCTCTCCGACTGCCACCGGCGGGCACCGTCTCCTGAGT